AGATGGCGCCATGACGTTTGACAAGATGGCGCCGACGATGCATCCACCTTCGTGTCAACGGCGGCGCATCCACCACGTGTCAAGAATGAAAGATTGAGGTTATGGTCGGATTTTTGTAGTCATACCCCTGTTGCTGTACTACTCGGCTTGTCAAAGTTAGGAAAAATCAATGGAAAAATGCTGTGTGGTTTTTACCTGTTACCTACGCATAGGTGTGACAGGTTAAAACCAGGGTTGTTACAAGCTACACAATTGTGTAGTTTGCTACACAATTGGACTATCGATTACACTGGTGCACCCCAATGACCAATTCCATCTGTTTGCTACACTTTTTAATAAACTGCACAATAATGCTACACAATGGATAAATCACCTATTCCGTACCTCAAAATTCTTGAAACGGTAGTGAATTTAGCTACTTCTGCAAAATGACAAAAGATGTCGCAAGCGTTGAGTGAGTCGAGATCCTGGTTCTGTTTTTCGTTGGATCAGATCTGCTTACGCAAAAAATGTCACAAGCGTCCAGAACTATTTCCTTAACCTCAAAGTACAAATTCGGAGCACGTGGGTTCGGAATCCGGTCCCTAATTTGCTGATTTTATTTGTTGTAATTTTGGATTTTGAGTGATTTTATTAACCTCGAAGCAAAAGACGTCGCGAGCGTCTGTTGTCAGATGTCTATCCGATTGTCAAATTGACAGTGCACAATTGCTTGTATTGCTACACAATTTCAATGCGAAAAACTACATATTCAAAAATTGGTCTGTAACAACCCTGGTTAAAACTATACAGTTTAGATTATCGAATGTAATATCACAAGAGGTTTCAGGATTACCGGATGATACTTTTACCTGTTACGAAACGCGTTACGCGTTGAGTGTCAGGTAAAAGTATAAGGTAATCCTGAAACTTCGAGTGCGGTATTCAAAAGGTTATACAACAAACTAAACTTTGATACTTTATTAATTTTCATTATTATTAATAGTAAATGAACAATATTGCCACCAAGCGCGATAATCCCAAGGGGTTTATCACTTATCTCGTGTCATATGGGAAAAATGTACAGGGTGGGCCAATTTGGACACTTTCTTATATGGAAACACCCTTTATTTTAAGAGATAGAAAAAAATGAACCCCCCACTCTGAGGCTCAAATTTTATGAAATTTTGATTGGTGCAAACCGCATTTTGATATCTTAAACCGTTTAGCCGCTAGAGGGCGATTCTCGATTTTGAGCAATAATGTGAAACCATCATAACTTTTTTGTTTATGAAAATTATTGATTTCCATAAAAACTTTCTTGAAGCACTTTTTCAAGCAGAATTCAGCGAGGCTCTCAGTTTTTTTCTAGTTGATCCCAACGCTGAGATATTCACCAAAGTCTGTTTTTTTTTCAATAGGACAACCTATATATTAATAGCTCATTGGAAAGCTCTGCTTTTTCTGATTTCGATGATATAAAGTTCGATAGGTTTATCTGTAATAGTTTTGGAGAAAAAAAATTATTTCGGTTTTTTTCATAAGAAGCAATGTGTAAGAAAAGGACTTTATATCTGTAAGGAAACTGAGAAAGGTCTCTTTCCAACACATTGTTTCTTATGACAAAAACCGAAATATATTTTTTTCTCGAAACTGGAGATAAACCTATCGAACTTTATATCATTGAAATCGGAAAAAGCAGAGCTTTCTAATGAGCTATTAATATATAGGGTGTCATATTGAAAAAAACCAAACTTTGGTCAATATCTCGACGTTGGGACCAACTAGAAAAAAACTGAGAACGTCACTGAATTCTGCTTGAAAAAGTGCTTCAAGAAAGTTTTTACGGAAATCAATAATTTCCATAAACAAAAAAGTTATGATGGTTTCACATTATTGCTCAAAATCGAGAACCGCCCTCTAGCGGCTAAACGGTTGAAGATATCAAAATGCGGTTTGCACCAATCAAAATTTCATTAAATTTAAGCCTCAGAGTGGGGTGTTCATTTTTTTCTATCTCTAAAAATAAAGGGTGTTTCCATAAGAAAGTGTCCAAATTGGCCCACCCTGTACAGTGAGTTGTATAATCGAAAAAAGCATTTTTCCTAATTTTGACATGCCGCCATTTCGGCAGGGTAAATAGTAGCAACTTAAAACTTCGGGGATATAATCCTAATGAAAATAGCTACCAAATGACATATCACTCGACCCCTCTTTCCATTTGAAATTTTTGGGGTACCTGTTACCCTCACTTAGGGGTTGACAGGTAGGGGATGTGAATTATGTCTTCAAAATCGATGGTTTGTGAAATTTTGCTTTCAATACTCATCAAACTTAGGTTATTATTCATCGGTGTTAATCTCTTTGTCATAAAATTGTGACAGTTTTACCGCTTCTCTTGAAATTTCAATTTCAGACAGGTCAGAAATTTTGTCAACCAACCCAATTTAGATTTGCCAATGCTAAGAAAAATGGAAAACGAAACGATTTTATGTTTTGTCGAGTTTCTTTAATTATGTGGATGATTAAATTACATACATTAACCAAAACGTGATCATCATGGCAGCCAGAACAATCCGCAAAGGTCGAACCCTTCTCATCACCAAAGTCATGGTACCTGAGTATACTCACCCTGGTCTCTGGTACCAGTGCATGACGATGATAATATGACTCAGCTCATCCCTGTTCAGATTCAAGTAGGAATTTAATTCTACAAAATTTCTGTGCCTAATTTTATAAACTCCAGCTGAATAGTCCGTTGCATGGTTCTTGAGCTACGACTACTGAATAGACAGAAAGAACAATAAGCTATTGCTGCGTTGTCATATCAATAATAATATTTATTATAACATGAAAATGAAGGAAATTTTATTGCAATTTTCATGTATTAATAAATATTATCGATACGACAACTGACAACACAGCAATAGCCCATTGTCCCCTTTGTCTATTCAGTAGCCGTAGGTCAAGAACCATGCAACGGACTATACAAGTAAAGCTACAAGCAATTCGGAAGTGGCTCAACAAATTATCCCAGATCCCCTGTGCTCGACCAGAGATAACATTAAATTTGTCCATGAACTTGAACTATATAGACAAGCATTTCTACTTCATAGTCAATCGCCAGTGAGTCGCCAGAGAGTCGCCGTGTGCTGGGCGAAATACGGCGACTCGCTGGCGATTTACTATGAATACCAGTGAATGACTTCAAGGGAACGTTACGGAGCTACCTCCATTTGCTCTGGGAGCTGATGAAATTACAAAGAATCAAATTGATTTGTCTGATCATGGTAGGATTGGTAGATTAAGGAATGATTCTCATCTGCTATCCGCCTAATTTTTTTTTTTCAATTTTTTTTCATAAAATTTATTTTAAATTAGGCGTGGACTTAGCGATGAGGCCCCCTTGGCGCTGGAGGCCCTGGGCCCGGGCACATGCCTTAAGACGGCCCTGAATATGTAGTTAATTAATTTATATATTTGGGACTCCCAATGAACTATAACCAAAAACTGGAATGCGAACACATATTGACGAACGTGAAGCCTAGTGCCGCTGCTGCGGAGGGGATACCTGTTTTTATCGCACTCAACATGTTAAATGGCGGAAATTGCTTCCAATACGACAATACGTATTCCAATTGATGAAACCTGTGAAGGTAAATATGACAAAATTTTCCAAAACGTCATATGTCAGCAAGCAACAGAAAAAAAAACAACATTCCCCTTTGTGGCAAATCTATCTTTCATGGCTACATTTTTTTGGCAGATATGGCAATGTGTGCGCATTCCAGTTTTTAACTATAGTTCATTGGGGACTCCAATGATTTTTTGAGGGCCGGTATTTCAATGTCACCTTAAGATATAGAATAAACATAGACAACATTGTCTGACCTTGTTTGATGACGTCATCCTAAATATAACATAAAAACCTTATATTTTAGGGTAAGACTTGATTTTAAGGTAATATTGTAATACCGGCCCTGGTTGCAAATTTTTATTCTATATCCATAACAATAATAATTGCGAACGTGCTCTATGAATTAATCAACGAAAAATACTTTTTCTAAATTATGACGTCATCGATGACGTAAGTAAGTACAAAAAGTGCAACAAAAAAAAATAATTTGGTTGCACTAATTTTTTATATTAGTGTTAGGTAGTGCTTTAATGGGATGTCGGATGGGAGTGCTAATTTTTGCTTTAGGGGTGTTTAGTACCCCCAAGCACCCCCCTAGTTGCGCCTATGTTGACAATACTGAAAAAAACTAAACAAAAGGAGGGTTTTCATCCCTCTTCTTGAGATTTTGGATGTGGTACCACCAACCATCCTTTAACAGGATTAATGGCCGTTTTCACCAACTCTTTTAGGGGAGCCTTAACGTTAAGTAAGGGTATTCCTTAAACTGACATTTCTACATGTAAAAATGTTATTTTAGGGAATACTTACCGATAAGGCTCCCCTAAAATAGTTGGTGGAAACGGCCATCAACAAAGTGTTCTTGAATACCCTGTTAAATTGATTTCAAAATCGGTAGAGAGAGATTAAAAGTTTACAATAGTAGGGGAGAAAAAGCGGCTACTATGAAGTGACTTTTTTTTATATATCACTTTAGATAAACTTGAGAAAAAATAAGAAGTTCTGCAAAATGTCGTTTTTTTCACCATTTCCGAGACCCCATGAGCGAAATTGAAATCGAAAAGGTACATCTAACGACTGCCGACCGTTATTTATCCGCCGGCCGTTATTTGCTATTTATAGGCCTAATAACGTTAATAGCCATTTTTGAAGATTTTGAATGGTTTAACATTATTTGGCAGCTTTGTGATACTCATTTGTTCAACCTGTTCCAAAAATGTGATGGTTCACGTGTATTGTATTTACGCAATATTTACAGTACACTAGTACACCTTTTACGTTACACAACAAAAAATTCCCAATTTTTCATTAGTTACATGTTTGTGGCTTAAATCTTAAATGTCACTTACTGAGCAGAAAAATTATGGAAATTGAAAAAAAAAAATGATGCTTAAAAAATATAATTTACAGCAAAAATATCGAATATTTACAATAACAAGGCAATATTATTTATATTCACAAACAATAAATTAAACTAATCTAAAATTCTAATGCCTGGTTAAAAAAACTACATATTTTTATTAAAAAAAAAAACACCTCCACTTTTAGAAATCCAGGAACCTACCTAATAAAGCTTTGAAATTTACACCATATATTTCAATATTTGGTTTGTCAACCTATTTTTTTTTAAATAAAACCCAATAAGAGAAAGACTATTGTTATAACAAAGATCCTTTAGCTTCCTTGAAATAAGTACATAAAACTAAAGAAATATTATGTAGTGCCTATCATGTATAAATACACTTAATTAAAATTATTAAATAGGTTTATACAAAAGAGTAGTAACATACTTCTTTCTATATCTATGAGTTGCACTAAGTACCATCACTCCATCCTTAATGGATAAAGCATACAGATGGTTCAACATGACATGGTTTGGTTCTGGTAATAATGTCGGTTCACAGGATAACGGGGTATCTTTATTTAAAATAACTTGCAACAAATGTGGAGGTAGAATTGGAGGTCCACTGTTTTTCTCCCAAGGTTTGTATACTGGAATTTCCTGTGAGAATTCTTTTTGCGAGTCATCTTTTGCACTTTCCTGGTCTTTGGCTAGTGCTTGAAACACTTCAAAATCTGATTTCTTGACGGAGATCATGTTGTTTTTCTCTCCTGCAGTTTGGGCTTCGACCATTTTGTTTTGAGGATCATTTTTCCATTCACCATCTACAAAGTAGCGATACTCGTGCTCTCCTTCTGGCAAATCTATAATTGTGACAAAATCACCATGGCTTTTAACCATAGGAATGGTTTCCCAATTCGAAAATGTGCCTGATATACAGACGTCTCTACCACCACCTGAAAAAAAATTACTTACTCAAACAATAAAAAAAGATATTGAATTTACCTTCCCAGCGAAACACTGTTGGAGTTTTTGTGTCTGTTGTCACAGATGTTGTTATGTTGGTTCCTTCAGATACTAAAAAGAAAACTATAAGTTACTACTGACATAAAGGTTTTTTTGTTTTTTTGTTTTGGCCTTGGTTGTGGGTACTGAGTGTACTGACACAAAAATACAGTAATTTCTCAGTGAAAGGATAAAATTTAAATAGTAAATTGCCAACGACTATGATCTAATAAGTGAACAGTATCGGGGTAAGTCAGAAAAAACCCGTAAAAGATCAATATTTGGTTGGTATCTGGAATTTGGAATATATTCGCTATTAACAATAAAGAAGGTTAACGACAACAAAAAAAATAATAATAGTACAATACAGGCTGATACCAGGTACCCACAAAGTACGGCACAGCTGCAGCGTTGTCAATACTAACAATTTTGCCACACTATGGGAAACAATGAAGCAATTTCGATGAAAAATATAAGAGATTTAATATTGTCGGTCAAATCCGACCTCGTCGGGGAAATCCAAGGAGTGAAGTTAGAGGTGCAAGACCATAATAAAAATTTGTCAGCTGTGAAAGAGGAAATTGAAACTCTTAGGCAGGAAAACGTAGATCTTAGGGAGAAAGTAAAAAGTTTTGAGCAGCAACATAGAAAAAAGAACTTAATTTTTTATGGTGTTGATGACACACTAGAACCGGAAATAGCAGTGATAAACATTGCAACAAAACAACTGAAAATACAGCTAACACTACAAGAAATTACAAACTGCTTTAGATTGGGACAGAAAACGAAAAATAAAAGGCCTATTTTACTAGAACTTGTCTCTATGTTCAAGCGCAAAGAGATCTTAAATAATAAATCCAAACTTAAGGGCACCAATATTTTCATTAGTGAGGATTTATCCAAGGAAGAACTCTACCAAAGAAAAGTTCTTGTTGAGACCCTTAAAGACGAAAGACTTAACAGCTGTCAAAAAAAACTGAGAGGACCTTCAAAAATTGAGGTAGACGGCATCCTCTACAGTTACCAAGATATTGCAGAGCAAAAGAGGCTACCGCCGCAACTGCAGCATTTTGAGCCCCTTTCTCCCTCTCCGCGAAAAGCTTCTAGTGCACCTTCTACACCTTCCATTTTTGAGGAAACAGACTTTGGAATAGAAGAAAATAAAAAAATTGTAAACGAGAATCAAAGAGGGACACAGGTCGAAGATCAGACACAGAGGGGGGAGCCAAGCAGTAAAATAATTCAGAAAGACTGCTTTGAAAAGCAAGGAAAGGAGAAGAAAAGAGAAACTCAAAAAGAAAAACTCACTTCACAGGATATCCTTGGTAGAAGGAACTCTAGTACTACAACTCCTACGAGCTCGAGGGACAATAAAAAATTCACTTACGAAACAAGACAACAGGCTACACAAAAGAAATAATTTTGTTGCTATTTGAAGTGTCTATTTATATGTGCGTTTTAATTACCTATTTATTTTGCTTTTTTTTTTTAATACCCTAGATAATTTTTTTTTGTGTGTGAAAAAAACAGACGATAAGGAGAATAAATATAATTCTTTGTTCGCTTTTATCAAGAGACTTTTTGTTATTCTTGATCGATTTTAAATATACAAATTGCAGTTTATTGAAGTAAATACTTAGGATACTTTAAAATGAAAAGATTTTCTGTTGCTTATTTTAATGTTAGTTCGCTTGTGGCTCACTTTTCCGAAGTCAAGCAGCTTCTGGATAGGGAAAACTATGATATATTCTGTATGTCGGAGACTTTGTTAAGTTCAAGAATAGATAGTGAGACTTTAAAAATCCCAGAATACAGGTTGATTCGAAAAGACAGAGTTCCATTGGATGGGAATAGGTATTTGGGAAGGGGTGTAGGAATTTATATTAAAAATTGTATAGAACATCAAGTTCTACAGACCATATCAAATGATAGCATAGAACAAGTTTGGATAAAACTCAAAATAAATAAACAGACTTATAGTGTTGGGTCATTATATCGCTTACACAAAGGTGAATATTCTGTTTTTCTTGAAATTCTTGAAGATACACTCTCACAGTACTCCATAACATCAGATAGAACTATTTGTAGTGGGGATGTCAATACAAATTTTTTGGATGTTGATATGTAGTAGCAATACCCAAAAATTACTTTCTTGCTTTGAAATCTATGATTTGAAACAAATAATAGACCAGCCAACTAGAGTCACGCCTAGAACGAGTACGCTTTTAGACTGGATTCTCGTTCCAAAAAGTTTAACAAATTTTACACAGAATGTGGTAAAACTTGACAGGATCTCAGATCATTCATTGACAGTTTGCTTTATTGATAGGTGTTCGAATGTTGTGAAAAATTATGTAACCTTTAGAAACATAAAAAGAATAGACCAAAACCTTTTTCTATCACTCTTTGAACAGACGCCATTCTCTGATATTTTGTATTGCAATAATATTGATTTTAAGGTACAAATATTAAATCAGGCCATTTTAAAGATCTTTGATGTAGTGGCTCCTTTAAAAACAGTGTTAATTAAAAAGCAAAAGCCACCTTGGTTTACCGATAACATTAGAAAAATGACTAGAATGAAAGAGAAAGCATATAATCGATTTAAAAACTCGGGAGATGAGGTTCATTGGACGAATTACAAAGAAGTACGTAATATGACAAATGTGGCAATTCAAAACGAAAAGAAAGGCTATCTTGACTACTGCGCTAGAAATTTGGATCGGAAGCTTCTTTGGAAACGCCTGAAGCAATTAGAAATCGGAAACAACTCAAAACAAAATGATTTTCCAGAAAAGCTGGATGATCCAAAGGAAATAAATAATTTCTTTCTTAAATTCTCTGGAGTTTCATCCGAGGTCGACCCTGATGTTCTGCAATTTTATAGTGAAAATAAAAAAACAAATTTTCATTCACTTTTCTTTTTTAGAACTGTTTCTGTAGATGAGGTAAACACACACCTAAGTAGCTTAAAATCGTTAGCAACCGGTCCAGACTTGATTAACTTACAGATGTTACTCATGTGTTGTCCAAGAATTTTACCCTTCATCACTAATATCATCAACTCTTGTCTACTAGAGAGTAAGTTTCCTGTCGAATGGAAAGTAGCGAAGGTCAAACCGTTGCCCAAAAAAAATACGCCAGAGGGATATAGTGATCTGCGACCTGTAAGTATACTTCCCTGCATATCTAAGATCTTGGAGAAAATTATGGATAAACAAATCAGGGAACACATAGAGGAATATGAAATATTACCACAACAACAATCTGGCTTCAGGCCAGGTCATAGCTGCGTGACTGCACTTGCTGATGTTACTGATAACATACTGAGGGAAATTGATATGGGGAAGACCACTGCCTTGATTCTCCTGGACTACTCTAAGGCATTTGACACTGTCAGCCATCAACTACTGTTGTCAATACTCAACTTTATAGGTTTTTCAACAGCGTCAACTGCACTAATGAGAAGCTACCTTGAGGAACGATATCAATATACAGAAACAAAAAATGGTAAATCAGAAAAGACGCAAATTATGAGTGGAATTCCTCAAGGCTCAATTGTAGCTCCTTTGCTTTTCTCAATATATACATGTCATCTGTCAGCATATATAAACCACTGTAGGGACCATAATTATGCTGACGATAGGCAGCTTTATTTTTCATTTCATTCTGAAAACTGGCAGGAAGCTAAAAATCTAATTGAAGAAGACCTTCAACAACTGGTCTCTATCTCAGAGAAACATCAGTTAAAATTAAACCCTGATAAAACGGTAGTTCTTTTCTTTGGAAAAGATAAAACCATGGTTAGAAATAATATGAAACTTACAATGCTGGGAAAAGAATTAAAAATCGAAGAATGTGCAAGGAATTTAGGATTTATGTTGGACACTGATATAAGATTTCGCCAGCATGTAAATAATAACATTAAAAAGGCTTATCTGTCTCTCAAATTACTTTACCCTCATAGACATCTGCTTACTATCAGTCAAAAAATCCAAGTTACAGACACACTTGTTTTAAGCCACTTCAACTTTGGAGACGTAGTATATGGAACCTGCATAGATCAAAACGACCAACGGAGAATACAAAAAGTTCAAAAATCTTGTTTGAGATTTATATATGGCATCAGGAAGTTCTCACCTATCTCCCACAAACTCAAGAATGCGAAATGGCTTGATATGTCAAAAAGAAGACGGTTACATTGTCTCGTATTTTATCATAAAGTAATTACCCTAAAAATACCAAAGTATCTATCGAGTAAGATTAAATATAGAACTGATGTTCATAACCTAAACCTAAGATTTAGGGGACTCATAACCCCACCACAACATCATACTGCGATATTTGAGAGAAGCTTCACATATAACGTATACAGCATGTATAACGGACTTCCTGACACTCTGAAAAGTTTGAATATTTCCACTTTTAAAAGAAAGGTAAAACAGCTACTAATACAACAATAATAATGAAAAACCCGAGGAAAAAGCTATTAAGAAATTTAGTTAATACACAATATAGGTTCCTACTCCTGTTCCTCCTAGGCATTTCGTTATTTAGCTTGGATATAATATGTATGTATGTGTATGTATGTATGGGAGTTTGAATTTTTAGATTTTAGTCTTTCAGATTTTAGTTTTAGATTTCCATTTTAACTTTTTGTATGTGCATATATGGGTTTACTTAAGTTTTTAATCAATAGTGGATAACATATCAATTATTAATAGTAATTGTAGATATAGATATATGGAACAACAGGGGCTGGTCTAGATCAATTTATTGCCTTCCAGTCCCTTTTTGCTTTTATATCTTTTTTTATAATTGCAAATAAACTTATTATTATTATTATTATTATTATTATTATTATTATTATTATTATTATTATTATAATAACATTACAAAACTGAAAAGGCCACTTTCACATTTTTCAAAAACATTCACAAATTAGTCTGTTGTTGTTTGACTAGCTGTATACCTCTATGTACCTTGTTTAATGTTATGCTATTTTTATTTACTAAACCTTAATAATAATAAATCAAGACTTGCAAATATATTATAAATGGCTGTGCAAAAAT